GTAATTAAGAAAGGAAACCGAGTAAGACGAGAGACTGAATAAGAATTAAATTTCATCGACTTTGCGCGCTCGCTGTAAGGTGGTAGTTATATCATATTTTTAAAATATAACGCGCTAAATACCGTTCTACATGTTAAAAGAATTTAAAATGATCGTGTAATTTGTTATGTAATTATAATTTATTATATATACTCATACATAATTCCCTTTGATTTCAGCAAGTTCTTAATATCAACAGCTACAGTGGATTGGGAAAATGTCTGCTACTCACATTCAAATGGTAAAGTGGACTTTTCCTGCATTTGCTCTTGTAATTGGTCTATTGTGGTACAAACGACATCGAGTAGACAGAGCTGATCCAGGTGGAATAAATAAAAAAAATCACAGCGACAATACTATCGCTAGTCAAAAAAATCAAATTGCTCCATCAAGCTTTTATGATTCCGACATACAAACTGATGAATCTCTCTCATTGAATTCTTCCAATCAACCTAGAGACGAGATTGTTTGTAGTCCCAGAAAAAAAAGCGAAAATTTAGATATTCCACAAAGAAAAACTGGTTCGCAATGTATTTCTGCACATTCTACAACTCCTCCTAAAGACGATCAAACATGGTATAATTTTGCGGATACTACGTTAAAAATGGAAATAGAACTAGGCAGTAATCCGAAAGTAAATAATTTCGATATGATTGCAAAAAGTAGAAGCGCATCCTCTTTGGAAAATGCCGCCGATTCCGATGATAAAGTCTTAAAAATATTTGAAAATGTCGCCGAAGAGGAAGAACAAAACTTATCATCTGAAAATAAAACAATGGATGTTGTCAATAAAAATGAAGAGATTAACATAAATAATGACTGTAATTATCTCCAAAGTAAAGAACCATCTGTTATAAGCCTGTTAAAAGATAATGTTAAAACTCCAGTGCAAGCATTATCTGAAAGAGATTCTGCTAATCACAGTCCAGTTTCTGGTGTCTTAGAGGGCAGTGTCACAGATGAAGCAAGAAGTGAAGGAAGTACAGACAGCGGTAAAGGTTAGCATTAAATAAATATTAAATGATATAAATTAAAAATTTTTATTTTTATTACTTTTTTAGGAGGAAGTATTAAAGGTCATATAAAGAATAATATAATGCCAATGGCATACGAATTTAGCATACCACAAAATTTAGTTGGACGACTAATTGGTCGGCATGGAAGTTTTTTACAAAATATTCGACATAAAGCCGAAGTATACATAGTTGTTAAACGTCATCCCATGTGGAGAGATCAAAAAATTTGTGCCATAGAAGGTTCCATGGAAGGAATAAACATAGCTCTAGATTTGATAAGACAAAAGTTTCCAGAGAAAAAGTATCCGCATGTGACTCTTGAACAAATACCATTAAAAATACCTGAAAATATTATATATACCCACCTGGGTGAGTTATTGTTAGTTGAAGGAGTGAATAACGATGTTGTTATTTGTCACATAGTAAAACCAAATCGATTCTTCGTACAACTTCCTACTCATCCTACCTATCCCTCCTTACGAATATTGGATGAAAAAATGACACAGTTATATAATACGACAGAATCACCACCAATTCCAGATAAACTTAATGGTATGTTGTCCTTTAATGATTCTATTTTTTTCTCTGCCATAGTTAAAATTCTTAAATGATTTTTTCTTTTATTTATAGTGGGTATGATCTTTGTTGCAAAATGGTACAATACATGGGTTAGGGTTCTGCTTGAACAACCAGATCCTCATGGAGAACATCATTTAGTACGACTTGTTGACCATGGGGGTTATTGGGTTTTTAGTAGTTCAGAATTGAGAACAATTAGGGCAGATTACATTACATTACCGTTTCAAGCAATTGAAGTATACTTAGCAAATATAAAACCGAAAAATGGTTAGTGCATTTTTTACGTACAATTTTCTTATATATAAATCGACAATTTATACCATTTATAATTGTATACTATATATTAGGTGAATGGATCCAGGAGGCTTATGATACAGTTGCTCATATGTGTAGTGGAATTGTCGGTCAAGCTCAAATAGAAGGCTATGTTAATTCATATATATATGTTAATCTTTATCTCAATATTCATAAATACGGTGTAAGTAAACGTCTGAACACTTGTATGAACTCATTATAACTGATCTATATTGTCCTTTCTAAACTATTTTTATTGACTGAACTTGTTACATGTTGCAGGTGATATCTCTTGCGGATGAGTTAATAGCTCGCGGATTTGCGGAATCCGTAATATTAGAAAGTATAGTTCCAGAGCAAGATATATTAGTTTCTTAAGGTATGAACTAAAAATTTAGTCTTTAATGTAATTGTATTGTAAAAAAAACTGTGCGGTGATATGTAATTATACCATTTTTGTAGTCATTATATGCCTATGTGTACAGTTTTGAATTCATTTTCATATATTTCATGATATTTTTGTACATTAAAAAAAAATATCAACGAAAACATTTTTCTTAATATTAATTTAAGGATTTTTATTAACACAATAATAAATTCATAAGTTCCCTATATTATTTCGTATTTATTTAATCTAGATTCAGTTATATACGATATAATAACTTATACTTACTGTTAATACATTAAGTATCGATCATTTATGACAAGTACAAATGTGAACTATTGTGTTTAAGAGTGTGGCATTTTTACGTGCATGGCTAGTAGGATTTTTTAATATTATTTAGCATGCGAATGAACGGAAAAAAATTTAAATCAATTGTTAACAGACAATAGAAAGTAAATAAATATTTAAAAAAACATTGGTACTTATGTACTGTCGAAATATACTATAGATTAATTAAATGCCAAATGTATGAGATGTACGATACGTATGTATGAAATGCCACATTTTGGGGCAGCACATTCTACGTTGGAAATCGAGCAGAAATCGAAGAATAAGAGATTAAAAAATAAAAGGGACGTTTAATGTATATTTAATATGATATTCAAACGATTTCTAACGTAGAAACAAATATTTTACAGTATGGTAGTGTAACATAAAAAATTGCAAAGTATAATGAAAATGGAAGTTTATCCCTTGCAAAAGTCATATAATCTATAATATTTTTACTTTTAAAACTAAGTTGTCTTCTTCTTTTTTCTTTCAATACATTGGATTATACAAACTCAAATTATTCTATTAAGTTCGGATTTCAAATAAACACAACAATATAGGAAAAGAGAATTAATTACAAATTCAGACTGTTAATAAACAAAATGCAATATTATGTTTCATATCATTCAGTTTTCCATTTCTAAGCAAATTTCAGTCATATATTTGTAAATAGTGTAATATTATTACTTTGTTCATAAAATATTTATATAATACTATATAATAGTGATATAATAAAGAAGAAAAAATAATGGTTAAATGCTAGCTAGTTCATGATAAATGTGACATATAAAGAGATAGCAAAAATTTATATATTTTATACTTCATAAACACTGATAGAGAAAAGTGATTTGCATTATAAACTAGACGAATCGGGAAATTCGCTTCTCCATATGACCTGTATTACTTAATACAGGCCAAATTTGTTTATTCTAATGTGATTTTTAAATATAAATTAAACTATGTAAGAGACTTATTTTTTCTAAATCACATCGAATTATATAGTTTATTCCTTTCTTTTTCTTTTTTTTTTCCTTTGTGTATTTCATGAAAAAAGAAGATCACAAAGACGGTGGTATTCTTAAATAATTGGAATTACTATATTAAAATGAAAATTTCATTATCGATATTTTCTATATATTATAGCTTATCGTATAATATATACGTATATGCACGTTATGTTGAATAGATATTAACGAACATTACAAAAATATCTTTTCATAGGAAACATTTTCTACGAAGTTCTTTTTACAATATTAATTTCTTCCTATATACATAATGTTTTGTTTTCGGTTATTGCGGCAGATAAACTGTTACCTCCTTGCTTTCTGGAAATCCCGCTTAATATTTCGTAACTTAATATTTGTCTCATTTTAACTGTAATATGCATTACTATCGATTGCAAATAGACTGGTAATCTTCTTTATAGATTGTACGGTCTAAACGTTTTGTTTATAATTAATCATATAATAATCAACGGTTTACATACGAGTGTTTTCATGAATCGCAACTATATTTGTTATATTTATATAAAATAAAATATCATTAAGCGTAATAAAAATCGAAAAAAAAATTGCAAAAAAATAAGTGATTTGCAGCCGAAAAATACAGTTTAAAACTATTATATGTTAATATTTACAGTTTATTGAATCATAAACTTGATAGAAATATTTATATAGGGATATTCATTGGATACAGTTATTAAGCCGCTCATTATTAAATTGTATGTGCTTCAATGTATCACCGTCGTGAAAGCAAAGAATTTTTCTAAATCATCAAAATGATTTTACATCTATAGGCTATCTAGAGTTAGACTAAGAATTTAACCCGGGATTACCCACCTGGGGGTCTAGCGCAGGTACATCCCGGCGACTAGACCCTCACGTGGGTAATCCCGGGTTAAGAGACCAATATCTATAACAAAATTTTATTATCTATATTTTTTCTACTTGGAACCATCACAGAATTGTATCCTGCATTACTACAGGAATATATTATTTTATTGTTGGCATATTTTTTCAAATAGAAGTATAGATAATAAGATTTTGTTATAGGTATTAATCTCTTAAATTCTAAGTACTTTACTTTTTACGTTGCGTATATGTGTATAACACACAGGAAATGAGCTTAATTTAATCGATAATGGTAAATGAAATCGGAAGAAATATAAATGTAAGTAGATACAAATAAATATCTATTCATTTGTACTTCTTACGATTTCATTTATCAAAATTAGGCCCATTTTGTATATATTTCAATGTAATCTTCGACGTTTTCATTAAATTTATATCATTTTAATTGTACCATTTTTATTTTTCCTACGAAACTACGATATTTTTTACAATAAAAATTGTTAGATTTTATAAGAATTGTAAATTTCTATTTTTTTTGAAAAGTTCATTTATGTTATGTATTTTTCCCTTTTTACCTTTCCCTGATGCTATATCTTATACAACATTTATGTATTTATTTAAATGCATATGCATCTTCATTCCGAATCAAATGTCGATACGGAAATTCTAAACCATCTCTGTTTTTAAACAGATTTAAAAATGCTTTGGCCATTCTTGTGCCATATAACGGTTCAGCATTTTCTAAATTCTATATATTCTATGTATCCTATTTTTTGTAATACTTTGGAGAAACGCGGAATTGTTCCTTAGTAGCAATAATTTTGTAAGGACGTGAAAGACAATATCTTCAACGTCATTATAATATTTACTGCAGCATTCCCGAATTGAGATTTATTGGTTTTAACTTTATTTCTAATTTATTTCTATTTTATGAATTCGTAGTTCATGTTATGGGTCATCCAGTTGAATTTCATCTGGGCACACAGATAAAGGTATTCTTCATACCTGGAAGTACCATCAACATTGTTCTAATATTTTCTACAATTCTCCTGCACTGATATTTTCTAGTTTTAACTTTATCTTTAGTATATTTCAGCAGCTTATAAAATTTAATGCTGTTATACGGCTGAGTTACATTGATAATGAGTTACTTCACGTACATAATCCTAAAGGATATCCCTCACACCTGTGGCCGTTCTGAATAGTTGCTGTTTCTGCCTTTTCCAATTTTCACGTCGAACCACTCACTACCTCCGAAATTCACTGTCACCAAAAAATATAATCAGCCAATCAGTATGATTCATTTTGCCAACAACAAAGCTTATTGTCAATTCGTAAATTTTCAATAAGAAAAGAGTTAAATTCAAAGCACTATTCAGCTATATTAAATATTATAAATTAATATGATAAAATTTTATTTATTAAAAATGTTTTTGATTTTATTTAAAATTAATAAAGGAATTTCATTTAGTATGTGTTTGTAACGTTGGATAATTATTTAATTGTTCTAATGAAGATTGGTAAAATTTGAACAAAATGAATAGTTTTGAAATTAATCTTACAAGAATGATATAAATTAAAAATATTCATCTATTTAATGAAATTCTAATAATGATACAAAATTTTAACAATAATCTGAAGAAGAAACTGATTAATGTCAAGTCTTAACTCATTTTTTGTGTAATCAACTCACAACGCTTAGTCTCACGATGTTGTGTATGTTACACTGTAAGTCTAAAATCAACTTAATGCATTAAGTTTCAATCTTACTTAAGTTTAATTCTTATATTTTTGAGCATGCACCGTGTGGATCATCATTAGGATAGGTGCTGGAACTAATTTATATTGTTTTTATCGCACGCTGTTATCCGCTTTGTCTATGGCGCGTATATGTCTGTCCTTGTCGTACACTGTTGCTCTCCTTGTCTACCGCACAGATATGTCTGTCCTTGTCGCACACTGTTGCTCTCCTTGTCTAATGACGCTAGACAAGAAAAACAATAGTGTGCGACAAGGACATCCTTCGATCTATTGAAAAAAAAATTCAACTATTTACACACACGTTTTTCTAGGACAAAACACACATAGAAAGAAAGCGGGGAGTCTGATTTTACGGAGGCACATAAAAAAGTTCGCAAATTACTACTCTTAATTAGGTTTTTTTCGTAATTAGTGCGAACGGTCACAAAATGGATATGGTGACGCCATCTAGCGGTAACTCAGTGGTACTAATTATTTAAAAAATATTTATTTCTGCATTTTACGGGTCAAATGGGGTATGAAAAGAAAGTTAAGGGTCTAATTAGGGTAATACAATCGCCAAAGTTCACAATCCATTTCGCTAAATTAGGTTTTTTCGCAAAAGAAAATTCTCTGTTTTACGGGGTAAGACTGAAGGGATTGGAAGTGTCGATGATAATGCGAGGATAATGTAGGAAATGATGATGTGGGTAAAGGTGAGGAAAGGTTGTGGCGTTTCGTCTGAGTCGCTGCTTAGACTCATCAGTGGGGTTGATGGCAGCCGACTACTCACTCCTTATACCCCCAGACGCTTGTTGTTCTAACTACTCGCGCTAGGCTGGACGCGGTCCACCCATCCTAGCGGTGTTCCGCACTCTGCTTAAAACATCGAATATCAATTGACTTCGACGCTAGGCGCATAGCTACTTGCGGCTTGTACAAATTGGTTTTCGAAACTCGTACTCGAGGGACTATAGGTCGCTACACTAACATTGACAAGTGACAGTTTTCCACAAATTACGAGAAGAAATTAATTGTGGAATCATTTTTGTAAAACAGAGAAATTTTCTTTTGCGAAAAAACCTAATTTAGTGAAATGGATTGTGAACTTTGGCGATTGTATTACCTTAATTAGACCCTTAACTTTCTTTTCATACCCTATTTGACCCGTAAAATGCAGAAATAAGTATTTTTATAAATAATTAGTACCACTGAGATACCGCTAGATGACGCCACCATGTCCATTTTGTGACAGTTCGCACTAATTACGAAAAAAACTTAATTAAAAGGAATAATTTGCGAACTGTTTTATATGCCTCCGTAAAATTAGGCTCTCCACTTTCTTTCTATGTACGTTTTGTCCTAGAAAAACGTGTGTGTAAATAGTTGAATTTTTTTTTCAATAGATCGAAGGATGCCTTGTCGCACACTATTCCTTGTCTAGCGTTATTAGACAAGGAGGACACTAGAGTGCGACAAGGACAGAGATATATGTGCGATAGACAAGGAGAGCAACAGCGCGCGATAAGGACAGAGATATATGTGCGATAGACAAGGAGAGCAACAGCGTGCGACAAGGACAGACTTAGTTGTGCGGTGGACAAGGAGAGCAATAGCGTGCGACATCATTTTCTAAAGTTAAAGTTTTAAAGTTTTCTTTTTTCTTTTATTTCATTTTAGAAGTTTCAATTCTAATTCTAATTGAAGAGAATAATTTAACTAAAGAATTATAAAAAATCGATTGAACCGAATACCTATCCGAAATATGAAAGAAAATAAAAAAGAAGCTTTACTTAAGATTAGTATTAAATTTTATATAATAATCTTACCTTAAGATTGAAAGAGATATTTAAATGTAGAAGATGATTGTTGATTAACGTAAATGTTTCTCTATCGATAGTGATATGTAGGTTTCTTATGGTCCTATAATTGATACCAACGTCATGAGAGGAGATCGTAAATTTTTTCTGTTTATATTTTGATCATCGCTTTGATATATTTTGTGTAATTATCAAGTTAATTCAGAGACTAAACCAACATTTAAGTAATGTTTATATAATATTTTCAGTGCGATTTTAATAATGGTTTCACTAACAAATAATCGGAATCAACGACCACACGTATTATTACCGGTACTGCTTAGTGCTTGTGCAATTCCAATTTCTATGATGTTTTGGTTTATAAATATGATTTATTCGGTTTTTTATTCAGATTCTAGAAGGCACTTTGAAGGTACGTTAAACACAACCACAGTTCAGTGCCTTGTTTGCTTTTACACGGTAATGTTTTGAAAAACATAACCTTTTTTTTTTAGATCATTTTGTCTCACCATGGAGATGGTTAACAGCTGTATTGGTTCCAATTTTTATGGCATTTTGGGGTTTAAGGAGAAAAAGTGTAGATATCAGTGGTGCCATTCTTGGTAATAAAATTTTTCTTGAGTTTTACAGTGTGTAAAAATGTTGCAAACTTAAATGTTATTTAAGATATTTGATATTGTTGCTGTTTATATATTGAGTATTTTCTTTGTTATTATTGCTTGTATTGCAAAGCAACTGAAATATTATATTTCAGGATTATTTATGGGTTTTGTTCTGACACTTAGCAGTTTTAGTCATTTGGCTTGTCTCTTCGCATTCCTTGTTTCTTCTACTAAGGCAACAAAGTTTCGTGCCAAAGAGAAGGAAAAAATTGAAGCAGACTTTAAGGAAGGTGGTCAAAGAAATTGGGTTCAAGTATTATGCAATGGTGGTATGGCAACTCAATTATCTATCTTGTATTTATTGGATGTGGGAAATGCAGAACAGCCAATTGATTTTTACAAATATTATAGAAGTTCTTGGCTATCAATAGGAATTTTAGGTACATTCATTAGTTGTGATTGTAACGAATTTATAGAGTTAGCTTCAAAAACAAGTTTACCATGTCTAATTATGATTTATTAGGAGCTTTTGCATGTTGCAATGGAGACACTTGGGCTTCAGAAATTGGAACAGTTACTGGTAGTAAAGATTCATTTCTTATTACTACACTAAAGAGAGTTCCAAGAGGTATGAACATTAAGATCTAAAAGTTCTTTATTCGTAAAGGAAAGATGTAACGGTTGAATGATAAAAGTTAAGCAATTAAATAAGGAACTAATAATCTTTATTAACGACATTATTATTCAAAAGTATATCTGAGTTATCAAGTTCAAAATTTTACATGCAAAAATTTATGATTATCGAACTACATATTTCATTAATCATTTATATTTATAGGAACGAACGGTGGTATTTCTTGGGTAGGTTTATTAGTCTCTATACTAGGTGGCATAACTGTAGGTTTAGCTTATTATTTAACAGTATTGATAACTGTGGACACAGTCGTTCTACAATTAGCAGTGCCACAATGGCCAATTATTGTTATTGGAGGAATCGGAGGTTTCATTGGTAGTACAATAGACTCATTTTTAGGAGCTACATTGCAATATAGTGGTGAGATATCCATATTGTATTATTATTGAATGTACATGTAATAATGAAATTGATTATTTGTGTTTTTTATCATAGGAATAAATGAAAAAGGAAGAATAGTAGAACATCCTGGAAAGGGTGTAAAACACATATGTGGTAGACAAATTTTGGATAATCATAGCGTGAATCTTTTGTCCAGTGTTATTACTGCACTTATATTGCCAGAAATAGCAAAATTGATGTGGTTTGAATAATAAAAACAATAAAAATATATTAGCTATAGGTATTTTTTAGGTGAAGGTGTATTTATATAATTTTTTATATTTTTATTTTTAAACATATTTCTACAATGTAAAATACTTGTAATTTACATTATTCCGAGGAGAAACATTAAAAACATGTTTAAAAAAAGAAATCGTGTAAAATACTCGAAAGTGTTTGTTGAAAGAAACTTGAAGTTTTTAGATAATATTGTAAAAATATTACTTATAATTATTTAAAAATGCTCCATATACATAAATGCTCCATTGATATAAAAATAATAAATTACCATTAACAAAAAGAATCTTTTTAAGAAAGAAAATAAGAATATTAGTTTTATTATTAATTTAGATTGTAAATTTTTACTGGAAATATATATATATATATATACGCATGTACGACTATATATATTTACGTGGCCAGCAAGTGTATTTACGGCGAATATTTTCTATAAAATGTCTATTTTGTATAAAAATCATGTGATAAAACTTGAAATAGATGTATTGAGAAATTAGATATAAATTATAATGTTGTATAATTTAAAATATAATATATAAATTATAATATATTTAATATAAATATAATATATTTAATATATAAATTATAACGTAGTTTTGATTTTATATTAGACCATTTTTGGTAAATATTTACTTAGAAAAGCAGCACAGTTTTTTATAATAAAAATATTAAATACGTACGTACGTTAAATATTAAATACATCTTATATATTTATCTTATATATTACTTCTTTCGTGATGTTCAGTGCACAAATTAAGAATCGTTGTGTTCGTTAACGTAGTTTGGATACGTTTGACTGTTTTTAATTAAGAGTATAAACATAACGTGCATTTCATCGTGAATTACTCAATTGCAATAATTATTGTATGATTAATTATAATTAATTCTCGAAAAAAACAATTAAAGAAAAATAAATTTTATTATATCAAGATGTCATATTAATTATCTATTAAATTTTTACAAACTCATCTAATTGATATCTTTGAAGGATTTAAAATGAAATAAATTTGTAGATTATATAATAATTTACAGGTCTTATGAGTTAATAAAATAAAATAAAAATATCCAAACAAGCGATTTACTGCATCCTTCTATTACCTTAAATTAATTAAAGATCCGAAAAATACAATAGTACGTTTATTATTTTCGATAATATCACTCGCTCGTTAGAATTTGCCTCCACAGCCCTAATTATTAAATTACAGTGTCTACGAAAACTATTTACATACCACTGTATTCATTATATCATTCATATACTAATTAGTCAGATCCAAATCTATTAAATTAGGTAATAGTATTTTCATATGACTTCAAAATTAAAAATAAAATGTACAACTTGATTAAAAAAAAAAAAAAAAAAAAAAAAAAAAAACGTCGCATTGGAAAGTAAAAGTATGTATCAATATTTTCCGTAACCACTGTACGCTTTTTCACTTAATTTTCATTTCGAAGTAAAGATAATGTCATCATCTTCAACGATTTTCGTTAAAAATTTAGTTCCATTTATCACTAAAAGCACCTATTCTCCAGTCATTTCAAACAAATGATTCACGTAATCCTTAAGCTCCCTATTCTGCGTAGAACAGAACCCTTTGATCTTCGCTTTGCCTTTGACGTTCACTGGATAATACCCATTTACCAGCTTCGGCATTTTCAGTGGCTGATCATCAGCAATCAGGATCATCAACATTGTGTTTGCTCGTTGTCGGACAAGTCGCTGGACTTGATCAGCATTCTGGCGTGATTGTTGTGACTGTTAGAGACAGGAGTGGCGGCGACCAGCTGGACGATTGGCTGATGGTCGTTCGCGGCTCGTTTTTCGTCCAAAACTTCCCGCATGGTAGACTGATAGTCACACCTTCTCCTCTCCCGGCATCGGACCTGCGGTCGAGCGGATAAACTGAAACAGTCAACGTCCCACAATGGACTTGACACGGGCACGTTGTCATTGGCACGACACGGACAACTCTCTCCTTCGCTCTCCCTCTCGTTCACGCCATTCTCTGCTTGTTAGTTAACTGTTGCTCGTGCTTTATGTACAGCGTTTCTCGAGCTTTATGTACAGCGATAGGCTGGGCGGTGTTAGTTTTAGGGGTTCATCTCATCCATCACAGATTCGATCGCGGTCCGCATCGCACCATTGACTAATCGTGCATTCCAATATTTTTCTGCACCATTTTTATTATTTGCTTTGGTTACCATGAAGCGCGACCGTGACTCTTGATGGGGTACCATCAGCGTGATAAGCGTAAGATATTTTGGTAAACTAACGGTGATAGGTCTATGTGATTTGTTGTGTGTTGAGTAAATGTTAGGTGCAAGAGTGATGAAATTAAGCTTGAGATCGTTTTAGTTGCTGATTTGTTGAGCAGCTTTGTGTTATGTACTTGATTTTAACGTTGCCGAGGAATTGGGGGTTTGTTCTCAAAGTAAGGAATTAGGAAATAAAGTATAACGAAAATTCAACCCTCTGCATTAGTAGTTTGAATAGTTTTATTTGACGAGTGTAGATTTATTATTTATTCCAGTAAGTAATGCGTAGAAAGTGGTATCTAATATTTTATAAACGTTAATTTAAATATTTTAACTTCAAATATTCAATGAAATACGATAATTAGAGGATAATGCAGAGTGTTGAACATGAAATCTTTTAAAAGGAATGTTACGTTTGATTGAAAAAATTGGCTGAGCGTGTAAAATCGTTCTCGTGCGAAGTTTCAATAGAAAAGCAATTCTTTCAGTTATTGAACATGTTATTAATCATCTCATTTTTTTATTATAGTATGCTTACGAGAATTCACGCAACTATAACTTAAGAAAGTTTAATTTATTCTTAAATTATATTCTTAAATTTCTTGAAACTTATAAAAATGAGATAGTGTCATTCCAGAAAATTTCTGCACACATTTCTGCACTCTAATATTTTATCATCTTTAACAAACGCGTTAATTTTTCATATGATAATAAATAAATAAATTTACAAATATTCCGAGGGCATTATAGAATCGTTTAAATTATGATCGCAATAAATTTCGATTATTGCATTCCTCGTACAATCAATATTTTACTGCAGAATTACCCAATTATTCTTAATAAATATCCTATTTGTTTTTCGAGGTTCATTTTTCCTGAGTAAGGAATAACTTCGAAAATTTGCGGGGGACATCCACGACCATATGCTATTGGTATGAACATAATTTAAACAATTGGCTATATAAAGTAACTTTTACGATTTATATAGCGATCGATTCTTCACAAGTTGTAGAGTTTCAAGAATCTAGAAGATTTGCTGAAAAATCCTTCAAGAACTTTTGAAAGTACATGGAAACTTCCGAAGTTTAAACAATTGGATAAGAAAGATCTCTGTTTTCGTTGGAAAGATTTATCTCTTTCTTTCTATGTATGTTACAAAATTTTGATTAACTTGATTCTTTTTAAAAAGTTTCTTAAAACCTCCGTAGAACTTTTTCAAATTCTTACAAAGTTTTATTAGAAAACTTAATAATCTCAACGATGTTCTAACAAAAACTGAAAAAGACTTCAATAATTATCTCTGTCTTACCAATAAACATCTCATAATCAAGATCCAATTTATCAATGATCTCTTCGAATCGAAACCAAGCTAATTAGATTCTAATGTTTAGTCTCGAGGAAAAGAAAGAAAGAAGAAAGAAGAGAGTGAGAGTGAATAACAATAGCAATTTTCGTGGACGTGAACAATTGTGAATGAAGATTTTAATACAAACAAGAAAAAAAGGATACACATGTAAAACATGAGAGACTAAACATGAAAACACTAAAGCGTTTTTAAAGCGTTTTCATTGCTATGGAAACTGTGACTAGAAGTTCTATGTCGTATGAATTTGCCGTACCGAGACGGTGGTGGCTGTGCAAGAATTGGCCCGATTCCGTAGAAGGAGCGTCCCTTCCCATTTCCTCTTGAACTGCGCTATTACCTATACAAGAACAACATTTATTAACGAAGAAGTTCTTTGCATACTATGCACTTAATTAAAAATAGCACGCTTTAGGCGAGATTTGTTTACTCACCTCGCCGTTGCAGAAACAGAACAAAATCGCAACGCAGAGACCCTGCGAAATAATGGGAATTAAGAAAATTTAATATAGACTTAATCTAAATCTAAATTTAACATTCTGAATTAAATTTAATATTTATTTATACAAGAAATCTTACACTCAACAGTTTTCGAAATTCGTTTGTTCATTTCGAAGTTATTAAAAATATAAAAGAAATCGAATTTGATATTCTGCACTTAATATTCATTTGTTCAATTTCTTTAATTAATTTGGAGTTTTCGAAAGGAGGATATATCAGTGTCCAACGTTTCCAGAAAATCAAATGACGTAAATTATGGAATGCGACGAAGATTGAGTGTAGAGCAAAGAAAAAAGGCTATTGATTGAACTTGATTTAGGTTGAAAAAAAAAATGTCAGGTCGTTTGTACCTGGAAAGAGGCCGTTATGGCGGAGAGGACCTCGTAAAATTGCTCCCAGGGGTGATTTTTTGGCGGTCTGAAGGGAATGACAAGGTAATGTAGACCCAAGAGAGGCACGAGAAGTAGCGTTGCTCTGATGAAAAGAAAAAAATATTAATTTTATCAATCAATGTTTGTACTACTTCGCTTGTGTAAAATAATTGCTCGTAAAAATAATTTGTTGATTAAAGTGAAAGGAGAAAAGATATTTAAAAAAATATATTTTCGAAACTAACGATAAAAATGGAATCGATTGAATTTCTTTATCTGAACTACAAACAGAAGGATAATTTTTGTGAATTCAACTAACTGTGCAAATGAATTGTAATTAATTACCGAAATGCTTGACGCATGGACCTGGAGGGTTGCGTGCCAATCGTGGGACCAGCTCTTAGCTTCATCAGTAGAACTCGAACAATGTTAAAAAGAAAGAGCACGTTCAACAGGGTGGAAACACAGACCGGATAAACCAGTACGTTCATATAATTACCCTCGTCGATCCAACATCTAAGATATCAAATCGAATATTTACCTCATTGTAACGAACTACGTTCAAGAGTATTAAGCTAGTTAATTAAGAAGAAGCATTCACGAATCAAGCAACTCGAAGCTCGGAGCAGAATTTTCAATCAACAGAGATTCTTCTTTTGGAGAATCTGTCTTTCAAAAGCTCCCCAAAAGTTTCTGAAATTCAACTAACTTCGAACTTCAGTTACCGATTTGCGAAGTAATAATAGAGAATTCCCCGTCTTCGTCGGAAATCACAGTTTATCGATATTTCCGTTGGTCCATGTTCCCGATGATCAAAATTGCAAAACTTTGTTACTGACAACAAGGTTCGTCGCGAAACGAGGAATTTGATCTGCAATTTCGTAACGATTAATAGACGAGATTGGACGACATAAACGTAGATATCGTGCTGCTAATTAACTCTCTATAACATCTCTCTTTCTCTCTCTCTCTCTCTCTCGGTCTCTGTTCATATCTTTGTTCATTAAGAAGCTCAAGGTGAAGCTTCCGAGAAATGACGTTAATGCAATTGCCATGGTTTTGATACTTGGGCCCACATGCTTTTTCGTGGCCTGTCATAATGTCTCAAACGCATTCCTTCGTGCAGCTATGCAATTATAGAGTCTGTCAACTCCGGTCGTCTGATTACAAACATAATAACTCTACTTGCCTTCATGTAATCCAATTTTGTAATATAATTGAATACACGTACAATTGAAGAAATATGTATTTTGTTGATAATCTAAATTGATAAAAGAATTTACCATGCGATCCAATGCCTTCTTTTTTCTCTTTTTAAGACAAAAGGAAAGTATTAGATCATGTGGTAAATTCAGTGTAGCTTTTTGTGGACTTTTTTGTTATTCAAAATCTTTTAAACGTGCATTAGAGTGACAAAATGGAAATTTACGATAAATGAATTATCGTTTACATTTTTCATTATTTCTTCCATTTCATTTTCTAAAGAAGTTCTCTCTCTCTCTCTCTTTATATATATATATATATATATATATATTTTAAATATATTTTAAATATTTCATTCTATATTCTTGCATATCGTAATTCTTCAAGAACAGTTTACACAATTCTTCATACTTTTCAACAGTTCTTCATACATTTCTTCCTTCAACGTTCTCCAAACAAGCACCCTAAAAAATCCTATTAGCAATTTACTTTATTATTCTTTTTTTCTTTTTTGCGTTAATTACCGTCTCATTTTGTATTCTTCCTAGAAACATCCATCTTCAAGAGAAAAAAAAGTCTTACATGAAAGATTCATGAAGCAGTACGTTGCTGGCAATGGTAATTAAAGTTTCCACGAGGTGAAAATTTGTTGTTGTTTTTTTTTTCGTGACTGTTCGTGAAATATCAAAACATCAAATACCAAAATTTGATAATTACTATGGTCACTTACTGTCCGGTGTCCGCAGGATCGTCACTGGCTACTCGCAGAGAGGCATAAATCGTTACGATGACCGCAGGCACCGGCCAACCAAGGCCCATTAACCACTTTACTAATTTGTGCTCGCTGGTGAAAGCGCTAACAAGAAGCGTATGCAAGTAAAAACCCTCGCACAACATCCAGGCGTAATTAGTAAGTAAAAAATAGTGTAGAATAATGTGCAGCAGCCGACACGTTACCTGTAAAATTGCACATTGGTTTCTCATTGTAATGTAATCTTTCTTAACACCAGCGAATTAAAAAATTCTTCTTGAATCCTTGCTTCGTTTTTCGAATATCCTTGTTTCGCATGCATCCGAGTACTTTGCACGCCGATAAGTATAATACACGAATTTTACTAAAATATAGGTATCAGTTGACCCAAATACGTCGAACTTTCTCTTTTTTTCTTTTTCGTTTTTTTATTTTTTTGTCGTAAAATATGACACGAATAAAAATATCACAAAATAGATTCGAAATAAATTACGAAGGAGAGAAAAATTATTATCCACTTGTTGTTCTAATTATCTAAACGAATCAAATGAAACATTACCAAAAACCACAAAATGGAATTGGAAATGAATGACGAGAGAAAGGGAAATTATTGTTTCAAATTACTCGTTATTTCAATCATCTAAGCAAACCCAAAATCCAGATGAAATATTAAAATCAACAAAAATATCATTCCTTGGAATTACTGGACTTTCGAAAGAATAATTGACATATCTGGGCCAACTGATCAAGAAATAATCGATAGCCTATGTTGCAGGATATTTGTTTTCATGGTTGGTTAGCAAATTCAGAGAACTGACAGGCCGTAATTACTCAAACGTGGGGCACGCGGCGAGACTGAATTCTAGCGTGAGTTACTAGGTCGAGTGTTAAGCAAAGAGTCAAGGGAGAATGGCGATCCTCATGTACGTACCCCATTGTTCAATAGTAAATCCGTATTCGCAACTATGCATCTATACCACACCAGCCATAGAGCGTTATTTACAGCGAAGGAGGCGAACAAGTTCATATGAAGCGTCGTCCTTGCGCATCTCAGGGACCTACATTCGGAAAGAAAAAGAAAAAAAGGGAAAAAAAGGATAATAAAAAAACAAGAACATTCGTCCCGTTGTAGAAATTGTTCTCGGTACTTTTTCCTCGGTTCTTTTTTTTTCATGGTTGGAAGTATCTTCCTGCGAAACGTAAAGCGATGGCTTTGAAACAAAGAGATGGTTTCGCATTTGTGAAAAAAATTGTTCGATACGTTCTCTATCGTTATACAAGTGATATGTGCAAACGACATTGGATTTATTCTGTTAATTGCATTATGAAAAGATCCTTTCACCGCAGGTTTCGTTAGAACGAACAAACTGACGTCTCTTTGAAGAAATCGTAAAATTCAACTTGCCAACTGACGAACTAAATTTCTAGCTGAAATCGGGAAATCACGATTACTCGTTTCTACGTATTTTTATCAAAAACTTCACGATGTACACGAGAAACGACGTATACGTATTGCAATTTGCAAATGACAGTCGCTGAAAAGGAAACGTTTTAAAGTTTTACGTTTTAAGTTTCCGTCTTCCGTTTCAGTTTCTACGTTATCGTATCTTTCATTCATTTTCCATGTTCTTTTCTTCCAGACGTCAGAGTTCTTTCGTTTTTCTTTTCTCGTTTAATCTTAATTTACAATCAAGTATTTGGGAAGAGATTATTAAAAAAATTTCACGAAATGCGAACTATTTTATATCGTAATAGAATTAAGGTCCACTGAGAAATTCATTTCCGCATTAACGTCCGACGCTTTACAATCGTGATGATCTGAAACGCATTTAATACCTCACAGGCCAGCAGCTGCCACGTAAATTCCATAGACAGTGTCCCGCGTATTTGTTTTACGCGCGCAAACAATCGTGCGCGTAAATTTGCGCGCCACTTTTGCAAAAGTCTCTCGAAAGTCAGTCTCGAACGATCGATTTTCGTGGATTGTAGGTGTTATTTTCGCGGAGAAGAGGAAAAAACAGAGCGAGAGGGAATATATTTGCAATAAACGGAAGAGAGACCGAGCTGAGTCGACTCACCGGAAATACGTGAGAATACCTAACGAGAGCAGCAACGCTACCAACGATATTGCGTATCCAGCTTCGTATAGTCCACTGATTCCTTGCTGCCACTGAAATCAAAATTTGCATCGTCATTACCGAGATTGTCCTCGATGAACCTAATAAAATGAGCAAAACGTACGAAATTGGTGTAGAAAGATTAACTGACCTCGCTGTTTTATGAACCTTTCAATTTCGGTTGTAAGGACGTAGCATAAATAATAAAAATTCCACGATGAATTTTAAATGAAAATACTTGTGTGAAAATGAAGAATGATACTTGACGATGCACAGTTTTGTGGACATTGAATTCATAAAATTGAATTAAATTTACAAGCATAAGTAGTTTACTAATCCTTTTATTCATTTATACATGCAGTTTAATTTCTTGTGTAAGGCGTATTGAAACTTTTTGCATTGTTTTGTACTGTTAAATTTGTAAATTTTAAACTTTTTATGATGCAGTATGAAAAAGAGGTCAAAAATTACAGATACAAAATAAAACATCGATTATCTGAACTAATTGGAAGACAAATTCCTTCGGGTTAACGGATAATCGATCTGAAAGAATCAAATTTGTAATCATTTCATGAATGAACCAAAAACAGTTTTTAAATATGGATGTTTATGTAAAAGAATACGTTTTTATATACGTTAATAGCCAATAGATGCTTTCTACTTTTATCTTCTATTACTTCTACTTCTACATTTCTTAATCTGGTCTGCAATTCAAGAGCTTCCTCTTGAATTAATGCAAGACCCATTTGTATGTACACAGTACGATCTAATTTATCATTTGTTATTTTCAAACTTTTATACAAATGAGAATTCTTCTTATTACCTAAATTGAGTTTGAAATTTTAATAACATCTACCATTTCCAATGTCGCTAATTGTATATTTTCTAACAGAATATTCTACCGCTAAATCAAACATATTTTCGCCTCTTTTTTTTATACGTTTGATGACATTTAATTCATCTTTTAATCTCAGCACCATTCTTTTTCTTTTAATATTCATAGTATAAATACTTTTTACTCTTTTCATTCAAATGAATTTTTAACAATTTGAAACATCTTTACGGCGGACCAAGATCTACACAGAAAGAGATTTGATCCTTTCCTAGCATTAAACTTTAACATTTTTTAAAGATTTAAAGATTTCCTTTCATTTTAATCTCTCCTTAGTACGAATCGCGAATTTTAATCTTTCAGTGGTATTCCTAATTAATTCCTCGTCTGAAACACGTTGAACATACCGCATAATTCGCGGTGAAAATGTAACACTTTGAAAATTAATTTACAGCCATGTATATATGGAAAACTAAAGCGGAAAATAATCGAAACGATCAGTCGATCGATTATTGGTTAATGGAACGAGAGAGATTCGGTCTATCTGCGCAGACAATCGGATTAATGAGAAGCGAATGTTACGCCGCAGTTGCAGCCAGTAGTTTGACGAACTTCGTCAACTTACGCGGCGTGTCGTCTAATTGCATTTGCTGACCCTTTGTCCCGTGGAAATTGAATCGAGCCTCGCCATTAAGTGCGACGAGTGACACTCTTCATTGTCCGGCAATTCGCCGTGAACTTCGAAATCCTCCCAGTTTATACAGCGCTTTCATTCAATTTTCGCAATCCGGTATGTTCGCTCGCGACATTTTCCAACTCGTAGGACACACGCTTGAAAACTTTCAGAAATTTGATTGGGACGGGTTGTTGGATCCATTAAGAAGCAACGTTGGAGAAACTTTTCTTTTTCAATTATTTTTTGCACACAATTAAAATCACAATGGAATGAAAGCCGAGAGCGAATAAAAGCCGTTTTTTTTTAGAACACTCGACGCAGATTGTCAGAGGCGGCCATTTGTCAGATCGTTTCAAGAACGATCGTATCCTATCGCACGATTCACACTGGATTCATCGGATGACACCGATGATTTTGCAAATCCCTGCGCCGAATAAAAACGTCACAGTTGCGAAATCAATCATCTGTAAGCTCGAGGATTAATTGTTGAAACACTGAAAACTGGATTAACCCGTTTATAAATTAACTTGCGTTTATAAATACTTTTCGTTTCATTTTATGCGTTTTCTTCTCGAAAATTCTCTACCCTCGCAAATTCATCTCTCCCGTGTATAAAACGGGACATCATGGCGGCTGTAGCCAAAAAGAGATTCTTCTTTATTTATATCTCAGTTCATCTTATTTATTTTTTGCGAGGTTTCTTACCACGTGTCCACTCGAAACGAGATCTACCCTCCTCCTTATATCGCGATCCTTTCGGTTTCCCTTTGCTTGCCTCTCAAGATAGACCTGCTGTTGGTAAGAATGATAATCTTTGTAAGACGCCTCAACCTCGGTCGGATTTGCTGGAAGTATTGCAAACAGCTGGGGAATTACAGATTTCTCAGATATTTCGGTAGACCGAGAGTCCACTTTCCAAACGATTTTCTACAATCCAACCACTTTGATTCTTCCCCTTTTCATCTTGGTCCAATTAGTCGTTGATCGTTTCGCGCTTTGCGACTTTAAAACGACTTTTTGACATCACTTAAATCGTTTTTATATTATTTATATAATAATTATTTATATCAGCGACAGTCTTGGTGATAAATTTATTGGTAAATATTTATAATTATGCAATTATACGTGCTCGTTTGAAATCATCACGTCTACTTGACTTGAACGAGAAAATAAAATTTATTTTCGAAATTTTGTGTTTTAATTTAGGTATCGAGCCAAAGAGTTTTTCATCTCGATATCTTTGAAAAAAATAGTTTCTAATACTATTATCTGAAGATGAAACTTTTCATTTCATCTACCATTTTATCCACTATTTTTATTTTATTCACTATTATCTACCAAATTTGTTTCATCTACTTTTTTCATTACGTTTCTTAGAAATAAAAGTTTGTTAAGTCTGTTTCAAAGGAATTTTTGTTTTTATCAGACGATATATGTACTTATATTCTTTTTTAATATCAAAGTCAGAGTTTCTTTGTAAGATACATGTATTATGCGAGGTGTACACATGTGATTTCTGAGCTTTATTAGTCAAGGTCTAGGTCAATAGACCTTTTCCATCTTCTCTAAAGAGAAAAATAGTTGTCGATCTATTATACTTGTCTGTATTTTCTCTTTCAAAAATGTTTGAAATTTTACCAACGAAACAATGCAATACTTGCGAGTTTTCGGCGAGACTCACAAGAGTGTGTCGAGAATCACAAAATATCGCAGTCAATTCTTTTCCTCCTTCTAGATTTTAACGTCCTGCCATTTGCTTGGTTATTAGCAACCATTATTTACGCTATTTATTTTTCAGAGAGAAGATGTAGCAGTAAACTATACCCAGGAGAAGACAAGCAACAGTATTCAGATTTAAAGTAGGTCATAAGAAAGATTATTCACTCGCATAAAGTATTTAAAGACCAGGCACTTAGATACAAGTATCCATTGAAAGTTTCATTTCGGTGTTACTGTAATAGATGTAAATTTAATATAAAAGAGTATTTCTTTTTTTTTAAAATGGAAAGCCCAGAAAATAAAGAATAATATATAGAATTTGCGTTTCGAGTTTATTTCGAATTTCAAACGTTTCGATATCAGTTCGAAAATACGAGATTTTATTTAAAAGCTCGGTTTTCTTCAACTGGTAGGTTAATAAAAATATATCAGGTTAAAAGTTAACAAAAATATACCAATTTCAATTTCTTTAAACACAAAAATTTATTTTCATATTTATTTACTTTTCAAGTGAAAATAAAACAATTTACCAACCAAAAAGCAAGGGAACAGTTTATCCATTAATAAAGATTTATTATAAAGAATTATTAGCAATCAAGATACTGGAAATTCTTAAATTAACAAGTTCCATTTTCGTCGGAAACATTGTTATATCGCATTCTCAAATATCCAATAATTTTTCTTGTAAACCTGTCAGGGATAGCAAATTTCAAAAATATTCGAGAAGCATGCAAAATAAATAAGCACGTCTGCCCATAAACATGCACATAATCCGTCGCGATGTATTGACCGTAAATATGCAAAACTGAATGACGTAAATTCGACGTTCGATTGAAGAGAAAGCAGTAACAAAAGCGACGTTATTCGCGAAAAACCGAAGCAGCAAATCAATGAAATACTTCAGAGGTTCTTTGCTGGAAATACATATCTCAAACAAAACGCAGCCTCTTGCTTTATTTTTATCACGATTATAATTCGTAGCGATTCCAATATATTGCCACTTTTGATCCTTTGTACCAATTGCGTTGAATATTAAAATTTTTCTTCTGTAAGCAGTAAAAACTATAGAGAGAAAAAGAGAGAGAGAGAGAGAGAGAGAGAGAAAGAGAGAGAGAAGGAGCAAAGAAAGAAGAGTGCTTTTTTAAATCCGTATCTCTTAGCTCTTGATTGCCAATTTCGAATGATTTTTGTTCCTTCGTATCGTTATTAAGAAGATTTTAGAATATAGAAGTAACTGTCTGACCGCGGATGGGCTATTCTACTGAACGTCTGACCACCACAATATTCTCTTCAAGTATCGCTTTCCAGCAATTTTACTTAATTTCAAGAGTAATAAAAATTACAGGGTGCGATTATCGATAAATTAATCGATATTAAACAATTCATTCAGCAATCACACAATTTCGCGTTCCTTATTTTACAAAATATTATTTCCGAATAATGATGTTACAATATTTTCTGCATCGATCAATTAAACATTAATTAAATCTCCAAATAATTACAATAATATCTTTCAACAAATAACTCCTCAACCCAATTGTTACGATTTTCTATTCACTCCAGAAAATCCATTTCCACATTTTCCAGAGAATATTCCGTCACGGAGCTACTTTATTTCTGAATTACGTTACAACAAATCTGGGAAGGAAAGAACAAGCAACGATTTCACGATTAATTAGATAAGTAGTCCCATTATGCTCCCGTCATCTTGACGTTAGATTAACATCCTAATTTATTTTTTTTTTCAAGACAAAATTAATTTGTGAAACAGCTTCTATTTCTCTCCTTTTTTTTTCTTCTTTCTCATTTCAACGAAAAATTAAAGTAGTAGAGAAAGGGGCACGAGAAAAATTCTTTCTAGTTTTCTAACGTTTTTTCTCATTGTTAGTATCCAGTCTAGCTCCACTCCATCTGTTATACAGCTTCGTTCCACGATGACAACTTTTGTTACATGTACATTGGTTTTTCGTTCATGCGTTTTTTACCGCGACCCTCAGTCGAATACGTTTTTCTTTAAATTTCTTCGCTGTCGTCTCTCTTTATCTTCGATCTTATTCCCTCATCACTTCATATCACATCAGCAGAATAATTCTCCGCCCTCGGGGCTGTCGTTCAACGAGCGTCGCTCAATGAAACGACGGGATTCCATTCATGATTGCATCCAAATGCTATTTATGTATCGTTTTATTAACGCATTCCAATATTTAAATTTCTCTTTGAAAAATTATTGTAAGAAAAATTGTTGAAGTCCGATTATCATAATATTCAGAAAGTAATTTGATACTTTAATCATTTGCCTACTTTCTCTAGCTTTCTAATATTAAAAACATATCCTAGTATTAAATTTTCCTTTTCTCACGTAAAAAATTATTTATAAACGTTGTCAAAGTTTAATTATTATAACATTCATAATATTTTAGTTATTTTAGAGTTTTTTGTTATTTGTAGTTTTTTTTATTCTACTAGCCTTTTAGAAGCATGTCCCAATGCTTGATTTTCTTTTACATAAGAAATTATTAAGAAAGGTCGTTAAAGTTCGACTATTACATTATTTAAAATGCAACGTGATGTTTCAATTACTTATTTAGATTTTCTTATAATTCATGACTCCTTTATTTTCCTACTTTTCCAATATTAGAAAATTATATCAATAATTTAATAAAATAATATCAATATCTTCTTAATGTTTCTTACATAACATTTAATTTTTTTTATTTTGAGAATCTCCGATAATGATCCTTGATCTTTCTTCTTATTTTTACTTTACTTTTTATCCGTAACATTCCAATTTCTTCCAGTTTAACTATCTTTATATATATTTTTTCAAAATATATTTTTATAACACTCGAAGTATTCGGAGAATGTTACGAAGAATGTAACACGTGTGATTAATAATTTTATTGGTTCACTTACATTGAGATCTTTCAGATTGACACACGTCGTATAGTTGCTCCAGACTAGATCAGATTCCGGATGCCGAAACCAAGTGCCGTTCGATTCGCAATATTTGTGTGCCTGCACTGAAACAAAAATATTCCTATGTTCTGAACAATCTTCTAAACAATTTATGGTAAGAATATTTTTTCAGTTATTCATATTTTTTAATTGATTAAATTATCCCAATTCTTTGATGAATCCATATCGAGCGTGAATTCGTTACATCGTTTTCAATAAACGTTATAAAATATTAAAGTATTTAATTAAAATATTAAAAGTATTTATATTAAAATATTTATATTAAAACAAAAAATAGAAAACGTTGATAATATCTATCTTGTAATATCAATGTTGTTTAACTCTTTTATCGCACAGAACTCTTTCCACGAATCAGAACTCTTTTCCAAAAATACTAAAATACTTTGAAACGTTGAAATAATTGTATTAATGTATAAAATATCGTAATACTAACATTAAAAACTACAATATTATAATATTGCGAGAAAGATATAAAATATTATATACAAGATATAAAATGAATAAAATCGAGGAAATGTAATACGAAATATTACAAATTCCTTTCCCAGTTTCTAATAAAATGAATTTCACCTATCGAAATTTAAAGACGCCTGAAGAGGAATTTATATGGAAAATACTCGCGAAGAAAGCAACGTGAATCGTCGACACAAAGGATTCTGTGAAACGTACATACGAACCCGTTCCATTTCATGCGTATCTTCAGTGCGGTCGAAGAAGCAAGTCAGAGATATATGGATATAAACGGTATCGTGGTTTGCGTTTGAAATAAATATCGCACACAAGCGATATTACATGCAAACGTATGCACACAACGTATCAAAAATTGAAAGCTCCTTCAGTCGTGTTTCTGAATCGATATTACAACATTTGATTACGCGTTTCATTACACTCGAAATGTATACGCACTTTAATTTTATAATTCTTCGAATGATGTTCTTGAATACCAATACAGCTGTTTAACATTTTTTAACGCTTCTTGAATACTGATCGGGGATTATTTTCCCTTCTTATTACTGCAGAATTGACTCATCATTTCATAAATCATAATTTTAATATCGATGTAGGATGTGTGTATAATTTCTTCTCACGTTATACTAGAAGATGTAGAATAATTCAGGATTTTTTTTTATTTGATAAATTATACATACATTATTATTACACTGTATTCGGTTGATCAAAATTCGAATGATCAACGTTTCGAATAATCAGGGTTCAAACAATCGACGTTCTACTATAGAGTGGTTGAAAAATAACCAATTCATGATTCTTCATAGAAATTTCATTTCATTATTTTTATTTTATTCTTACAATGAATTTTTAACAATTTGAAACATCTTTGCGACAGACAAAGGCCTACACAGACAGAGATTTGATCCTTTCCCAGCGTTAAACATTAACATTTTTTTAAATTTCTTTTCATTTCAATTTTTTTAGTACAAATGGCAAATTTTAATCATCAGCATTTCTAACGTTAATAATTATCTATCTTTCATCTAAATGTTGTGTTTTCATACAATATTTGAACATTGAGCAAACAGAATCGTAAATCTCGCAGCGTATTTATCGCGAAATTTCACCGATTCTTTTCAAGAATTTCAGTAGCCAGTAAAAAAAAAAAAAAGAAAAAAAGAAAAAGAAATATCGAAACTATTCACACGTTCTGCATACAAATATGAACATACATACGCCATACTTTTATTTCCAATTCATATTTGAAACACGCCCATTAATCAAAGCCCGGTTCGAAATCTCTTCTTTTCAAACGATACAAAACACGAGCTTCAATTATAAATGTAATCTGTCAACGATGCTTTTCCCCTTTCGTTTCTCAATATTTGCGCAAACCAGTTTTTTTTCTTTCTTTTTTTTTTTTTTTTTT